GTGCAGACAAATAATTAATTCTTCCCTTGAAAACCTGTTAATACCGTCCAAACTGAAAAGTTATAAATAGCGAAAAAGTAAAAAACCTCTGAGGATACACCATAAACATTTGGGATCAATGTCAGTATCTAAACATCTGCTCACCTACCCCTCCCCTAACCCAACAACAGTCAACTGATAACAGTTAATGTTGGATTAAGGGAGGGGTAGGTGTGCAGTTTCTTAGATACTGATATTGATCCAACATTTGTAAAACAACTGAGAGTAAAAGGATAAAATATAATTTTTTTAACCCTTTAACTCCCATGAGTGACCAAGACAGAATTTCTCCTTACAATATAGATATAATATCATGCAGACAAGAAATGAGCATAAATACAAATATCAATCTTGGGATTATTAGTTGATCTAAGACCAAATTCTCTCAACCAATGTCACAAGAATTGTACAGCAGACAGTAAGGAGAATTACTATAGAGATCTTGGGAGTAAAAGGCTCAACCAAAGCATACATTTTACATGTGAGGGAATAGGTAGAAAGGAAGCCTGAAAATAAACCTTTTAATAATGATGTAATAAGAAATTCTCATTATTAATTTACAGGAAAACATCTAGCAGCAAGAGGGGAGAATTAACAATCAGATCTTGGACTTCAAAACCTACCTGAGGGATTTCCTTTGAACCAAGTGTCCTAGGACCATCTCTCGCCATAAAACTATGGTAGCCTGATTTTTTTTCTTTTCCAATGAGGGTGGAACTTCAACCACTTCCTCTGATTTTGACAGCTTTGGTGTTCCTTTGATTGGAGTTTCCTCACAAACATCTTTTTTCATCCTTTTTTGGAGTAACAGTTTTCTTTGGACTTGGTTTTGAGTCTCTTACTGGAGTCTCTGGAACTGTGGCAGCTTTGGTAGCCAGTTTGCTAGCAGGAGTTGTCTTTGGTACTTCCTAAAATGTCCATGGATAAAATTTGAAGTGAACAAAAGTTGCATGTATATCAAACATTCTAACAACTGAGAGTTGTCTAGTTCAGGCAAGAGTTGTCCCAAATAGGAATGTTGATGGTGAAAGACACTGCTACTTTAAAATAATAGTGGAGACAAAGAGGCAGCATCTTCCCAGAGTGTCAAATTTAAGGTCACCAAGAATGTAACTGAAAGTTTTGTGACTATAGTTACTGTTTTCAGTATAAATTCTAGGTACAGTAATTGTAGTATTTTGAGAAGTGTTAGTATTGTAAGTAATGTTTTGTTGCAATTATTGTTAGTAATGTGCATCTGAGTAAAAACCATCCACTGTCATAGTAGGACAGGTTAATGTATATACAACATGCAAATGTACCACCAGTTAACAAGTTTGAGTAAGCTTTTGGATCTCATACAAAACCAAATTTAGTCATAAAATGTTACTGTTTCATCTACAAGTACCTTATTCAAGTGCTTGATAACACTTACCATACACATGCAATCATATCAGGTCCAATCCATTCTAGTATCAGGGTAGCAGGTTTATGCATTAATAGTAATGATTAATTTTGCAACAATAAAGTATGGTAATCAAAAGGCTTACAAACCTTTTTCTTCTCAGGGGAAGGCTTTTTAACCTCAGACTTTGATTCTGAGAAGTCTTCCTTTCTTTTCTTTGATGGTTGCTCTGTTGTGTGATGGTTGACATTCCCATTTTCTCTTCCTTCTTTTTCTCTCCCATTTTTTTACTCTTCTTTTCTATTCACTCTGGAGTCTTCATTTTCTTCAGACTTGTCAGATCTTTGTGGGAAATGAAAAAGGATAAAAAATTATTGACTTGCTCTACAAGGAATTAAGGGATGATCATTAAGTGGGTTGAGCTCTGGATCAAGCTTAAAATTTGCACTCTCAAAAGTGATCAATTTTCTAATTTCTCATAACAATACCAATTCACAGTCAAACAGCAATGTAATATCATAGGAAGGAAAATCCTCAGACAAGAGGATATTTATTGATTGAACAACATATTCTCAAAGATATTTTCATAACACTTGTGTGACAGACAGTGAAGAGAGTTGATTTAGATATCTTAAGGTGCAAAGAACTTATCCCTTTCAGGGACCCCATGGTGTTGTTTTTGCCAAAACTATTCTCCAACATCTCCTCTCCCCATCCACGAAGTATCTTGAATATGATTACATAATGCATGACTCAAACATCGGTCATTATACCCATTAATTTTGTGGCATGGTATGTGTGAACCGTAGTCCATTCTGATATAACTACTGAATAAGAGATTGGCAGAGGGTTTACAAGGGATGTGTGACTGGGCCCAAAATTAACATGTGATGCATGAATTTTATAGAAAGGCAAGGTCTGGTGAGGTTTAAAGTTTTCCCTGTTCAAATAATGCACAATGTGTGAAGTACTGTTTAAAATACATAGGATGCCTGATTTTACTGTAAAAAAAATTGTTGGTGAAACAAGTGTAGTTAGTTATTCACCTGTTTTCTCTTATTGGCAAATGTTTTCCTGGATTCCCTTTCAACTGGAGTAGAACCAAAGAAATCAAGTACAGAAGTTGGTTTTTTCTCTTTAGGTTTGACTGGAATGAAGCAAGAATAACAATTCATGTGTTAATCATTTCAGTACCACAACAACTATGTGTTATCTTCACTTTTGATGGCTGTGTAAACACTGTCTTTATTATTTTGCTGTTGTTTGTTTGTTTTTCATTTTCAACCCTTAACACCTAAAACTCAGTATGCATATTCTCCATACTGTTCTCTATACATTTCCTAAGGTGCTGACAAGGAGAATTTGTTTAACAAACAAGAGCTTAGTTGGTGATCATTTCCTTCACTCTCATGACCTTAATGTTTGATTCAGGGATGATATTGTAAGGAGAAATTAGATGCTGGTCACTGTTAGGGGTCAACAGGTTACATGTGAATGTATCAGCATAAGAGCAGTGTCCTATGACAGATCTAACATTCTCAATGCCTGATGGGAGAGAGGAAAGATCAAACAAACAAACAGACAAATAAAATTTAGGTGGATAATTTTAGAAGAAGCCAGATATCTTATGTTCTAAATGAACACCATAGTTTGGTGCTGAAATGTGAAATATAATGAAAGGGAATGATGGATGATACCTCTTTTTAACTTGCTGGACATTTTCTGTCTGTTTGGCAAACTTTTTTAATTTGCTTGGCACAGTTTCTTCCTCATCTGTAGAAACCACATCAAAATATAACTCAAGTGCTATAATATTCAAACCTACATGTATTCAAGGCAGAGTGGTCTAATGTTAAGTGTGCTGAACCCTGGATGAAGCGGATGGCTTTGTTTTCTTCAGCAAGTAAATACATCAGCAAGGTTAAAGGTCAGGTGATGTAAGAAAACTGACCTCATCTTACCTCAAGCTCACCTCACACAAAGTATTTTCCCTATCCAGTCATCACACTCCATTAATAAGGAGAGTCCTCTGAACCCTTTTGTAGAACTCAGTCACATAAAAATATAATTTATGGCCTTTTCATGCATCATGAAAAATATTCAAAATTCTTTGACATTCACATGAAATTCAAGATGGTCACATTTTCAAGATAAACAAAACCAAAAAAATTAAAAAATTATACCAAATTCATATTTTCACACTTTCTGACCTGTTAATCCTATAAAATTAAAAAAAAAAAATTAAAAAGATGTTATCATGATTCCTGTGAAGATAAAATCTCCCAATCACCCTTCACGTAAAAAGTATAGGGTACCCTCAATAAGTGCACATCATTTCCCTACCTGAGTCCAAGCTGATTGGTCTTCTATTTTTCTTAGCTTTTGAACTCTCTTCCTTCTTTACTGATGTGGCTTTTCTGAAAGTGCATGAAAGAGAACCAGGTACTGAATACAACCTGACATCAGTATGCATATTCTCCATACTGGTATCTACACATTTTCTAAGGCGCTGACAAGGAGAATTTGTTTAATAATCAAGAGCTTTTATAGTTGGTGATCATTTCCTTGACTCTTGATTCAGGGCTGATATTAGGGTCCAAACGTTTAACTACAACTGTAAATTTATAAATGTAAATAAATGTGATTAACATGTAACTTCTCCCTAGACTATCCATACAATGTCCAAAAAAAAGTTTATGAAAAAAGTTTTTATCTTGATCTAAGAACAAATTCCTATAGCAAATGTACCAGGAAATGTGAAGCAACTAGAAGGGAGAATTAGCAAACAGATCTTAGGAGTTAAAGGATGAATACAAAATTGCATCATTTTACAACCCTGTTTAGGATAAAAAAGAAAAAGGCAAAATATTTTAACTTATCAGCCTCACTCAGCTACCCTGACATACTCAGACAAACTATTGAAAATTACACCTACAAAGTTAGTTAACACACAGTACCATACCATTTCTCACATTCCAGTCCAGAAAGATACCTTGGGTTAGATATATGTAGTGGAATGAAACTCTTAGTTAAAACATGTTGTAAAATTACCTACCATGTGCAAAATTAAAGACTCATGACAAAGGAAATTTTACCATGTGTGGCAATAAATACAAATTTTGGAGAAATAAGGTGTCTACATATAACTCTCTCTCTCAAGTGCTACATAATCTATTACTTACCTTGGTTTTCGTTCGGCTCTTTCCTACATCTTGTTTTGTTAATGACTTCGCAATAGAATCCTTGCCGCGCTTGTTTTCTACTTTCGAAGCGCCTTGCTTCGCTGTCTTTCCAGTAGGGCTAAAGAACGATCGAATATCCTGTAGAAAAATATGTAATTATAATTGAAACACCGGTTAAAAGACTACCACTGAGAACGAAAACGACTAACAAACCACTTTAGTATATTGATGTGTTCACATCACTCTCCGACATTTCGCGCTATCTTTGAAAATCTCCCGTACTTCAGTCAGCGGTCACCAACTTAGCTAGCTTCCAGACTCATGTTATTTCTCTTCCGCTAATTTTCCGAGAAAGACGATAGGTTATAAGATAACCATAATTTAATTCGAATTCACGGAACCAAGTTAAAGGAGCTGTCAGACGATGGAGGTTGAACCACATGCAGTTGCCCCGATAGATTGCTTTGAAAATGGCAAATAGATCCGCGGAGAACACTTCTCAGGGGTACGTACTCTGTTGTGGATGTCAATATTTTCATGAATGAATGCGCTTTAGCTTCGCGCCCGCTCGTTCTGCGATTTGGTTGTTTTGTTGTGCTGTCGTCTCCTCGAGGTATATCGTTTGTTTATTGAAAGATATTAAATTCGCAGCATGAAATTTGCAAAAAGTTATTTGAATTTATGTTTTATACGCTGTCATTCAAAAACAATTTCATGTAATATAAAATGACTCTATAGTAAAGAGGAAAAAAAACTACGTATAAAAGTTCTACCGATTGGACTTGAATGGAATAAATGTGGTCGTGTTACGATTAGTGCGCATTTTCCTAAACTTAAAATTACACTGGTTTCTAAATTGTATCTGCTTGAGTGGTAGCAGATGATGGAGTTTATGTGCAGAATTGGATACAATTGAGTCAAAGAGTTGACGTTCGTAACACTGTTCTTTGCGCCTGTCTGTCAAAGATCTGATGTCATACAATGCATTTATTCTCTCTTGTAAAACTAGACCCGACCATATCTCCGGAATTTTTTCGGGCTTACTGAGATTTGATAAACGAAACGAAACGAACCGAAAATATGAACATCTCCTTGGTGTTCTTTGCTGAATCTTCACTATGTTCGCGAAGAGATCAAATCCTCTTCTATATTTAAAGGAAGGACTGCGCCATTTAGCCATAAAATGCAAATGTAAAATTTGAAAAAATGATTCCGTGAGACAATTTCCAAAGTGTCAAGCATCGATGTTCGTAGTCGATGAATAATTCGATTGCGTGACATGACACCTTCCCTTAATAATATCGCGTGACTAAAGTTGGTTTGCAGCATGTTTCTGATTGGAAAATTAAAATAAAGTTTTCGTTGAAGTTTCAGTAATAGTAATGGTTTTTCTGTTATCATTTGTATAATTTGTGGGCCGAACTGACCGATTCATCCTTAAGGGGGGCATTGGGATGTTCGATATCTTTTTAAGATCGGTTTTTGTGCTAAAGAATTTCGGTTTTTCGGATTGGATGTTCATTGCGGTTTGCGGATTTTCCGTTCTTTAGCATTTATTTTTCGTCAAAAATACCTGTATAATGGGCTACGGATTTGGTTTCCGATGGAGTTTTCGGATTGTCCCATTTGGATTCCGTTTTCTCTTCGATCCAAGTGGCCACTATGCTCCTGTACTGATCTCGAATAGCCGCGAAACCTCTGTGTGCTCCACTTGTCAACACCGTAACGGATCGATTAGGGTTTCGAACTGGGATGTGGACATTTATCGGTTTTGACTGTTTTGCATGCGGTTTTCGGTTCTGGTCGAATTTTCGTTTTGCGGGTTTGCAGTTGTGGATGATTTTTGCGACGCCTTTGAGGTTTCTAATGGTCCCTCTCATCCTTCCGTACAGTGGAGTTCCACACGGATTCTTGCTTTGCAAATTGAAAATCTCTCTTTCTAAAATTACAGATCTTCCCTTTCGTTCTGTTCTGTGTCTTAAATTAGAGTAGGCATTGTATAGTTATTTCTTTTGAAATTGTATGTGGAATTCTTTTAACTTTTTATTATTAATTTTCTTTTTAATTTTTCTGGAAATAAGTACTGTTGTCTTTCTCACTTCACACTTAAATTTGGAACTTAAAGTGAGGGGAATGTGGGCTGAAAGCTGGGGTGTCTGTGCCAGACAGCTTGATCCTGCCTTTGTCTGTATTATCATGTATTAACCCTTTAACTCCCAGAAGTGATTAACATTAAACTTCTCCCTACAATATCCATAAATTATTCAGCAAACAGGTAACGAGAATATTCAAATTTATCAGGTAGAAGCTGCTATCTTGATCTAGCACCATGTTCTCATAACTAATTTTCAAGGAAATGTTTGGCAGCCACAGAGGAGAATTAACAATCAGATCTTGGGAGTTAAAGAGTTAACTTTTTAATCTTCCATTCCAGCATGAATTTTAATGTTCTGTAACACCTGTGTTTCTTCTTGAGTCCTAAAAATGTAACAAATTTCTTTTAATCCAAAGATATCTTTGTATTTTTGTTTTTTGAGATACGTTGATGGATTTTCAATCTTGAAAATTATCAGTTTAGGTGCCACACAGTTATCAAGGAGACTATGTTTGATCTTGGCTGTCTTCTTCCACCTGTAAGTGAAATACTGTAGTAACTTTCACGGTATCCGGTTAGATCGCTCCATGGTTAGATCGCTCCAAGTCAGATCGCTCCATACGGAAGTCAGATCGCTCCACTCAAAAGTTAGTTCGCTCCATCAAATAAGTTACTTCGCTCCATACATAAGTTACTTCGCTCCATGTAGAAACCTAATACACTAACTTACTTCTGATCTTTATAGTTTATAGTTGATGATGTGTATTGCGTCTTGCGATCGGTCGAATTACCGATGCTGGAACAAGTGTTTCAGTGTGTAATGAACGTAGAAAACTAATAAACTAACTTACTTCTGATCTTTGTAATTTATAGTTGATGATGTTGCTTGCGATCAAGTTGCTGAAATATAAAGTGATCGACGATTCGTTCACAAATAAAATAAAAGAAATGACCAACAATGAATATGATTTATAAATATTGCTTTCAAAGAATCGCCATTTTTAAAAGTTGTCAAATCCAGCCGTGAGTGAGACTGGGTTCGACTCCGGTTAAAATGGCGAGTCTTTAGTCGCGTTACAATACTCTTTCTTTTCTTTTCCCTTATCCTTCTGTCTTTTATCAACCTTCCACGTTAGTTTTCTTCATGGAGCGAAGTAACTTATGTATGGAGCGAAGTAACTTATATGATGGAGCGAACTAACTTTCGAGTGGAGCGATCTGACTTCGGTATGGAGCGATCTGACTTGGAGCGATCTAACCATGGAGCGATCTAACCGTAAACCACTTTCACCCAATACTGACAACAAAATTGTTTACATGTCACAATGATTTGATTTAGGGCCCTCCTTCCAGTAAGCACCCCTTCTAGAATAAGTACCCCCCTCCCCCCTGTTTTTAACTCAGAAAGTTTAGTTTGAAAGATAATAATGGTTTGCTAAAAATTCATCTGTAATTTGATGCTTGTATGATTGATAATGTTTATTATTTTTAAGCTTGTCATTATTTTTATACTGGCCTTTGTCAAGTAGAGGGTCAAATCTGGACTTCAAAACTGCAGTGGATATCCTGGTTTGCTGATGTGAGTACATAACTGATTAATAGAGCAAAAAGGTTAAGGCTTATATTGAAAGTCAGCAACATATAGTCTGATCATTGTGTACTTTTAAGTAGTTGTACCTAAGTCTAAGTGACACCCAGCTGCATGTACTTTTTTCAAAAAAGTTGCTACTTGTAATACAAGGCAATGGGGTTGTGCTGCTGGTTTGGGTGGCATTTTCAAGACTTGCTTAGCAAGAAGGGGGTAACATTTTCAATAGTGTTAGTAGAGTGGGGACTAACACATTTTCATGACTTGGAAATTCTTGTATATAATAAAGTAAGGATCTACAAACAGGAAGGTTCAAATTAGATTGAAATGTACCAGAATGCTAATGCACTGAAGGTGAAAAGTAAAGTGTTCTAAATTCACATAAACAAATGTGTTGCTTCATTTTAGGATCATGATCTACTTAAAAGACTCGGGTTTTAGTTACATAGATGCATCTATAAACAGAAATTGACTAAGTCGGGACCACAAAAATTACATTTCTGATAAGGTGACTAACTAAGCAGATATGGGGTATATAATAGTCCATTTTACAGTTGTGTGCTTGGTTGCCAAGCCTTTGAACAGGAGTGAGGTTAAGGTTGACCTCATCATGATACAAACCTTGCTGCTTTTCAAATGCAAATTACTTTGTTGTCATGTTAACTGGCTACTGGTCTCTATGGGGGGTTTATTTCTATTTATTTGTTTATTTATTAATTCATTTATTTATGTTTTCCTCCTCTGAGCCATTTGGCTCTAGTGTGACGGGTGTTCAGAGGGGGCTTGGGGCAAGAGGCTTGCAGCTGGATTGTGAGTTGGGTAGGCCAGTCTGGTGTTCTAGAACCTTGGGGTGTGACTGTAAGTGCAGCTCCTGGGCCCCTGGGGCATCTGGCCTCCATTTGTGATGTGAGTGTAGACTTGATATTAAGTTATTTTTTAAATTTATTTGGATTATTTATACAGGCTGGCTCGGTTTGGCTTTTAAAAGCAGGTTTACATTGCCTCTATAAATGATAACAAGGCCAGATGACCACACTGGGAACCACATTTGTGACTCTTTGTTGAAGTCTGTGAGTTGTTTTACTCTTTAACTCTCAAGATCTGATTATTAATTAATTCCCCCCTCTAGCTGCTGCACAACTGCATATTCATCAGTTATGAGAAATTTTCTGTTAGATCAAGAAAGCATCCTCTACCTGATTAGTTTGAGTATTCTCATCACCTGTTTGCTAGATAATGTGTGGATATTATAGGGAGAAGTTATTTACCTGTTAATCATTTCAGGGAGTTAATGTCCCATGGCTTTTAACCAGTACTGAGAAGATGTAGGAGAGTATGGGGCCTATGATTTATCATCCTTAGCTGATAAGACTAGAATGTCTAACCATTTGGAGATGTTATAGGCAGCACATTTTCCTCAGTTATTTTAAGACCCTGAGTGTTGTTGCAGTCTTGGGCTTGAACCCTCAACTACCTGCACAGCAAGAACACCTTTGCGATGTAGAAAGAAATGACAAGAGCACATCCAAACCGGTTGCTAGACAATTTAATCTACTTAATCTCTTTCCCTACATCTAGGCTGTTTGAAGGGCTACAAAACTCCAGAAAAGAGATTTATCTTTCAGATCGGCACTTTTAATCCCCACAGTATCAACGAAAGCTTTACGTTCAGCTAATTTATTCTTGTTTTCTTGTCACCATATTCCCACTTATAGCGTGGCTCCATTTTCTGCTGATAAATACACACACAACTCACAATTCCTCCAACCACTGTAATGAAGGGCTAACGCTCCAAACGTCAGCTTTTAACTTTTTACAGTGGCCAATTTACATTATCTACTCAGTTAATAATACAAAAGTACACTGTTATACTCTCCCCCTGATGCAGCACCACAGTTTCTTAAGAAACTTACCCCCTTTACCTGCACAACAGTCCAGCACTCAACATGAGTAGCAGAAAAAAAGACTCCCCTGTTTTAATTAATAAAATATAAGTGACTGAGTGTTATCACTGAGTGTTATCACCGTTTAATACAGGTCAATGACAAAAGACAAGAAAACAACATTTAATTAATACCATAATTCATCATTTATTTTATGTCGAGTTTATGTAAAAAATGTATCAAATAACATCAACAAAATGATGTTACAGCGTAAAAACAGAACAATTGATTAGAATTCTAACAATCAGACCTCTTGGTAATCAACCAACAAATGATTTTTCTTGTGTAATTTTCTTGTGAAATATTTGTCAGATACAAACAGTCCTATAGAAGAATTATAATCTGCAATTCGTTAAGGAAATCTGAACTCTAAATACTAACATTGATTTTAGGAGACAAACATGGAATTAATTTTACTTTAGAGAGAATTCGTCGTTTTATTCGAGTGATTCCTCCCTAAGTGACCGTTTCATTCAACCCGAACAGGCCGATGGGACTCAGTCATGGATGACGACAACCGCTTAATAGAGACCACCGCTGAAAAGTGGTGAAAGTGACAATGCCTAAGTGGAAAAAAATTCGGGAATTTGACAACCGACCGCTTAATACAGGTTCGACTATTAATTCCAAATTAGCCAATCAGCCCACGTGAAGAGTTCCATTCACCTGTGTGGTATATTATAAAAAACCGCTCTAAGTTGGGTAGATGGAGTACAGTTATGAAGCACGAAGAGAAAATCTAAGAAGACGAAAGAAGTCCAAGTCCAGCAATTACTCAGGGAAATTCTTACCTTTACCTTCTGAAATCGTAGCTCTAAGATTCTTGAGAATCCGTCCTCTAACCATGTAGCCGTTTACACTCCTAACCCGGGGGGATAAACGGAACCTCGACCCACCCTCCCCCACTTCCCATGGCTCTTTTTTGAAAATGATTGTAATATATTCTATCGTCAGCAGCGAACTCCGACTAAAACATCTACGTTGTCGCAGTTTTTTAGATCTGGGGGGAAGTTAAAATATCAGGGCTTACTGACTTTTTGGATCCGGTACAAGGTCTTTAAAGGGGAAAGGAAATTTATTCTTGCTCGCCTTCACTTCGGTGAATATCTCGCGTTAGCTTCATTGAGCATCTCAGATTGAACATAACAGGAATGCGTAGCGACAACGCTCTCCCCATGACCGTCTCTCTCAGGTTGATCCTTACTTCCAGGATTTTTCCACGGCTTGTTTTTCCCGGTTTTCCTTACTCCTCAAAAACCAGAACTCTAAATTCGAGTTGCAAATGCCACCTTCTTAAAACGTTATTATTTCACATCTTGCATGTAACCCAGTCGAGGGTCTCCATGGGGTTAACCGTTCGCCGTATATCGGTCAAAAAACTATCTGTCAGGCGTAAAAAATTGAACGATTTTAATCCTTAGTTGTAGAAAAAAATTAACCTAAAAAGTCTTTCCTTTCTACAATGTGTTATTTTTTGTCATTCTGGGTTAACCGCAGCAGAAAAATGGCCACAATTTTAACCGTTGGCCGTAAAAAGTTCTCCTCGGTCGGCGCTCCTCAGTTTTAAGAAAGTTTTTGGTTTTTTTGTACAGGCTGTTTTAGTTAAGTTTGCAATCGTGGAAAAAAAATCATCAATATTTTCTACACGTGGAACCGTACCGACCTAGGATACCTCCCATGATGAGGACGCTTTCTCTAAGCAGAATAAGGCACCATCTCCCAAAGTGGAAGTTAATTTATTTTTTCTTGCCTCTTCAACGTTATATTACTAAACATCATATCGCTCTACACGCTGAAAAAACGCGTCGCGTGACATCCTAAGAAACGGCTGCCAATGAAACTGGCAGATATAAAATCTGAAAATATCGAAGTTAATATCTCATTTAATAAGTCTATCCAAGGAAATGGCAAGAGGTTGAGCGAATAAGACATAGGTGCGCTTATTACTCCAAACGAAAAGATATGACAAAACACCATACCTGTCACATAACGTGCTAAAGAAATTCGTCGCGTGACATCCTAAGAAACGGTTGCCAATGATGCTAGCAGTTTTAGAGTACGAAAATATCGAAGTTTATCTCTCATTCAGTAAACTTATTCAAAGAAATGGGCAAAAGTTATTAAGCGAATACTACTTCAAACGACAAGAAATGGCTTATGCAGGTTGATGCAGAAATTTTCCTTCCTTTGTTATTGATTTCCTCTTCCATTCTAACAAAATATCAAGCGACTTGTTTCATTGTTTGACATTTAAATGTTAATTTATTATACTTAGATAATAGGTAAACAATCTAATCGGAGAAACTAAATAAAATCATTTGGTTCCAACTTTCCAGCTCATTCTGAGCTTCCTTCAATGCTTTGTAAGCCATAACTAAAATTATAAAATAAAACTTCTCGTTTTGCCTTTGGGCGATTAGATTAAACAATATACTTAAAATGCATCGTTCTGCTTGTAAAAAATAACACAATTTATCTCATTCAAAATTAAAGAAGAAATCTCAGAAAATTAACTAATACCAAGACTAAATAAATAGATAAACCAAATTCTAATCGGCAGAAACTAACTTTAAGTACCAATGACTGAGTATAAATCCTCGAAAAGTTCATCACAATTTCCATCTGACATAGACAAAGATAATCGAGCAATCGAACAACTGATTATTCTCCAATTCCTATGGAAATTCTCTACACATGCACATAGCTGTAATAGCAGAAAAAGTCTGTAAAAAATACTGGAAAACGTTTTCAAAGACGTTTCAACTTCGACGTAAATGTAACGCCCAAATCCTCTCAGTAGAAAATACTTACATTAAAAATAACTTCTCACATACCTAGTCATGATAATTTTAAGACATCATATAAAAAAAAAAAAACAGCAGTTTGAGAAGGATATCAAAGATTAATCTCGTATAAGCAGTTCAGACCAGCAAAAAGGCAACTTTTGAATCAGTGGAAATCTGTTCTCTTGTTAAACTTGACTTTGGCCGTCTTTTGGTTCTTCCTGCTTTGATGAAAAGAAGACTCTTGACAAAGGTCTCATCGGTAGCTTACAGGTTTCTGGTCCAAATATCAGCATTTGTAGGTATCCGAAAACTCCCTGGGATTCCAATGCTCACTGCCTTAACTGAAACATAAAAGAATCTCAGTTTAGGGAGGATAGTTGAGTTGCCATGAAATATTTCTCAGCACATGAAACGATACATTGCACAACAGGATTTCTTTAAAAGAAATTTGCTATTTTACTCCTATCACGTTTCCAAAAAAGAATGTTATCATCGTAAACGAGTCCACTTGATTGTACTGCATCTCAGTTTGCAGAGAGAAAAATAAATTCGTAACCCAACTGAAAGGAAACTAACACGCAAGTATCACTGCTCGTATATGAGCAAAGATTATGATTTAATGTAACTTTGTATTGAATAGAATGTATCAACAGAATTATTACTTGTTCCACCTTTTAAATCTCCTTGAAATCCAGGTTGACGTCGTCACCAATAAGTACAAATGGTGCCCAGTGCCAAACCTCCTTAAACTTTTCAATTTTTCTCATACACTTCATGGCCTGATTGAGAGCTTCACTGGCCTTCTTGCCTTTGGCAAGTGCATCGTAGAAGAAACTCATGAACTCCAGGGTTCCCTCGTCGCCAATCGCCCACAAGGTAACCACAACAGATCTGGCACCGGCAGCCAAAAGTGCACGCGCCATACCGACCACACCCTCGGCCATGACCTCCCCACGAGCAGTGTGACAGCAGCTAAGTACAACCAGACGTGCTCGCAACCCAGCTTCTATCACATCTTTCATCATCAGTAGATAGTCTTTCTCTTGCGGCTGAGGGTTTTCTCTTGTGGCGTTTGGTGCCAGGATAACTTCTCCAGTTTCCATTTTGCCGTGCGCTGCTATGTGAACTAAGGCCACTGATGATATTCGTTTTAACACTTCATCTTTTGTTGCCATTTCTCTAGTGAGAGGGGAGACATTGAGGATACGTCCGATCATCTCCACTTCTTTCCTTGCTCCTGGAAGTTGCACCAAAAGTGTTCCCTCATAGATGAGATGTTTGAAACATGGGTCGCCGACAAGCAATGCACCAGTCTTGATGTGAAAGTCAGCTGGACAATCACGAATTAGTTGCAAGGTCGTCAGAGAGGGAAGCACACGAATTCTGAAAGAATCACTTAGATATGATGAGTTGGAGTCTTGCAACGCTGCATAGGGTACAAGGCAAAATGGCCCCTCAGGAACGAATGTGATCTCGTCGTTGCCTTCGATCAGGTCAGCAATAGGAGTAACGATGATGTCATGCAGCTTCTTTAAAGCACTTGATTGGGAGTGCCTCACATCAACTCGGATCACATCATTGGCCATTTCCTCTTCTGTCGGCGAGTCTAGCGGAGGATTTTCGATGGTAACAGTATCTCTTGCGCCGATCTCCTTAAGAGCAGTTCCGTTCAGTAGCTGGATGAAAAATTTCAACTCATCCTCATACATGTATTTGTTTACGTGTACTTCTCTCATCTGGATATTATTTTCACTGAGGCAAACCCAGAAGTAAACGCATGGTCCATTAATAGCTATGAA